TGATAATTTATTGAGTTGTTAGTTCACTATATGAATTTTAAATATTTTTAAGTGTAGATAGGGACCGATGGAGTGAGGATAATCTAAATTCAGGATTTCAGGTTTAGATTTGTGTACTTTCTATTTTATTTTCTTATAGTCAAAAGTATTAAAAGATAGACTAGTGTATTGATTAAACTTTTGACTATTGTAAATAAAGTTTGATGAATAATGATTATAGTAAAATATTTTGATGTATGCATTTACTAGGTTTTATTTAGATAAATGAATTTAGTAGCTATATTTAATTAATTAAGCATAAGATAAGTAATTCTTCTAAATTTAGATCTTAAAATGTCACAATCAATTTCTCAGAGTTCTATGGGAAGTTTGAGGCATTCATTAGACCCACTCCACATTCATGATTTTTTTAGAGCTTGTGGAAAGATTGAGGCTAATGGAGAATGACTTGTTGTCCACCCAACAACGTTGGGAAGCTAGCATGAATAGATTTAGAGGAGAGCACTCCAAAAGAGGAAGAAGTCTAGGCTAGAGGGGAGTGATTCTATGAAGGAAAAGTTTATGGTGTCTAGGATCGTAGGAGGACTAGTAACTATCAACAGTGCTCCTATATATGTTTTTTATTAGAAGAATACATGCATGTTTATGGGGCAATGCTTTAGGTGTGCTAGTATTCTCATAAGGTAGCTCGGTATTCACAAAGAGCACTTAAGGGTATATGAGCATAAAGGAAGTCAGAGTCTGAAGAAATCATTACCAGCCCTATCAAAAAAACTAGTAATGAAGGATTTTTAACTCAGAGTTGTGGTATATTTAGAAGAAGCCATACGGCTGGATCAGTAGGAGTTTTATAGGAGTTTATTGTAACTGGTTAGTCCAGCTCGAGTACAGCCTAGAGTTTATTATCTCACTTAGTAGAAGCTAAAGGAGGCATTGAATGTAGTGACATGTATGGCCTTTATTTTTCAACTGTACTATCATATTTTATTTGATTATAAATCCAAGCACTCATTTCTTTTCGAGTATATTGTAGATAGTTAATCAATTATATATATAATATTTGTATCAATATTTTTATCATTTATCAATACTATCTATGATGTATAAGTACTTTAATCAATTATCAATATTCAGATAAGGGTATTTGATTTTTGGTTTGCCTTTATGACTCCCGATCTATGAATCGCGTGGATCAGTCGCCCCAGCTCCCTCCTTATTAGTCTCCAACTCCTTATGAGTCCCAATCAATGAATCACGTGGATCATGAGGGTATCACGTGGGGTTATATATGCATTTTTCTTTCTCATTTTACATAGAAATTTCTATATGTATATTTAACTACTGAAAATATAATACTATAATATAAAATTATTCAAAATGATCAAATCTATAACATATAAAAAGTTACACGATGAAAGCTTTCAAAATTAGGGGATAATATATTTTTGGCAGTTTTTAACTTGTAGAAATCAAAATTAAAAAAAAAAAATAAAAGTAAGATAATTATTAGTTACAATTAGCAGCATAATTTTTATTAAAGGAACAATAGATGAAAAAGCCCCGATAAACTTTCTCTCTCCTCTTTATCTCTCTCTCCTCCTTCTCTTCCCCTTATTTATGTTCCTTCTTGGCCAATCAAACACGAGTGAGGGGAGGGATGGTGGTGGTGAGGGATATTTAGAGAAAAATATATCAACTAATCAATTTTAGTGTCTAATGCAACGATGCTCTGACCTGGTGATGCAGTGTTGCATGCCATTTTAGAGTTAATAAAGAACAAAGCCTCTAATGCCGCGAAGGTGATTTCTGGCTCCGCTATGCTATCCAGTATAACGTCACATAAGCAAACACTGCACCGCTATGCTCCAGTTCAAACGTAAATTCAAAATTTTATTTAAAAATAATTTTCAAATTTTAGGTTTTTTATATCTAATATGTAGCAAGTTCTCATTAGGTAAGGATCCTTGAGTGTGTCTTTGTCCAAAATGTCAAAATTTCTTACATTAAATGTTACTGATGGTAGTGGCTAAGCTTATCTAAGATAATATTGGTGGGGAAAAATTGTGTATCTCGAATAATGAGGTCAACAAATATGATTATAATTTATGTTGCTTTTCACATACTGCACTAACCCCAATTGGAGTTTAAAACTTTATGTTGAGGTGTGGCATAAAAGTAATAAAACACTACAGGAAATTCATTAATTACCAGCGGTCTAGAACGACAGTTCTGTAACCACCGGTAATAATGACGGCGTAATCGGCGGTTTGACCGCCGGTGTTTATCGGCGGTAAGTTAATTCAGAGCCGCTGGAAATAGTGGTTGTCCAATAGCCGTCAGTTAACCTGTCGGTATTATTTTTTACCGGCGCTTTATCGGCAACTTTAACCGTCGGTGTTAACTAAATAATTTCCTGCGATTTAAACCACCGGAACCCTGCCAGAAAATACCCTAAAATGAGCCGTCCCGAGCCTTCCATTTCATTTACTCGCCTGCTCCTCTCTCTCATGCGCAACACTCGCCCCCGTCTTTACCGGCGCTTTATCGGCGACTTTTAACCGTCGGTGTTAACTAAATAATTTCCTGCGATTTAAACCACCGGAACCCTGCCAGAAAATACCCTAAAATGAGCCGTCCCGAGCCTTCCATTTCATTTACTCGCCTGCTCCTCTCTCTCATGCGCAACACTCGCCCCCGTCTCCTCCGCACTCTCGCTATGGAGACGCTCCCTCCAGCCGAAGATCTCGCCCCCACTGCAAGGCCAAAGATCTCGCCCCGCTCCCGGCTCCTGCGTGAAACCGGGCTCCAGAAAAACATGTTTTAATGAATATATTTGTGATAATTGTTGTGATTGACTATAGTGGCGTGTTGCTTAAATTTGTGAAAATTATTGTATTTTCTATGCAGGTTTAGAGTTTAGGGTGAAAATCAGTAAAATAGAGGGGAGACTGACAATTTTTTTTTTCAAATGCTACATGTTTCCGGCGCTTAAACCGCTGGTAAATATCGGACGGTTAAAAATAGCCGCCAGAAGTTTACTAAAATCGTCGGTAAATACCGGCAGTTTGCCAATGGTGTCAGGCGGTACACCGGCGATACGTCAGCGGTCTCACCACCTACAATTCCTTCGGTTATGACCGCCAGTAAATCGTCGGTAAAATCCCTGGCGGTTTACCAGCGGTCTACGCTGTTATAACGACGATAACTATACCGACGGTTGAACGCCAGTACGCCGCTGATAAAAAAACCGGCAGTCATCGGCGCTCTGACCGCCAGAAACTAACAGGCGGCATAAACCGCCAGAAAATCACCGTGAAAAAAAAAAACGCCGGAAAAATGCCACCGAAAAAGGTTTCCTACGCGGTTTTTACCGGCGGCTTTTGAACCTCCAAAAAGCTGTCGGTGTTTTACAAAATAGCTGGAAATCTAATGATAACCACCGGAAGAAACCGACAGTAATGAGTGATTTTCCTGTAGTGAAACTATTTATTAATTGAGAGGTCTCCAAATAATGATATTGTATGTTGACACTGAATTAACTGTTTTGAATCAAATTAGCTAGTTGTTAGGGGATTGGTGATAATAAAAGGGGATTAGTTTTAAATGAATCAATGAGGTTAACTTGTTAAATTATTCTCTCAATTTCCTTGTTAAGTTGTTTACACACCTCAGTTGTATGTCACAACCATAGTAGAAATGTCAATATTGCTTTTGATTCTCTTAGTTTGATTTTGGCGGATTTAGCCACTTAATAATTTTCACATACCATGCATATATCAAAATATTAACTCATGATGTGTTTAAAGGTTTCTTCTCTCTCTTTTGTCTTTATTCATGTTGCTATTAATGTAATCAAGGAGGGAGATAATGATTCCATTGCTACTCATATTTTCTTCACTATGATATTTTAGTAACACCTTAAATATTCTTATATTTATTGAATGGCTATTTAAATTGGCTTCGATAGGCATTGATGATCTCATTTCTGGTAATTTATGATTCAATATTATTGATAAGATTAACATAACAACTAAATATATATCATATTAATGATGAGCAAAAAAGCATAGAGTGGAGTCATAAAAAAACTGCTTTATAATTCCTCATGACAAACTTTTAAGTTTTGGAGAGCATTCAAGATGAATCTTTAAAAGTACTTACGAGTCTCTCCCTTATTTTAGCAAATCCACGAGAGATGGAGGAGTCATTGATAATTATTATGATTAGAATTTTGATGAAGGGTGACAATGATCCTAATTAAGAGAGTATAATTGAATGTGAGCTTGACCCCTTAGCATTTCATGTAGATTCAATCAAACACAAATAAAAGAAAATAAAATGATGCATGTGTTTTTATATGAAAAATCTAGTAAGATATAAACCATGGAGCAATCCAACTAAAATAATCCATCATGTAAAAGAAGATTATAAATATTCTCCCATTTTTCTATAAATCCATCAAAAATGGGCGATTTTAGGCTCGTTGATTTTCCATTTGGTGATATTAGACCCATTGGTTTCCACTTTATGCTCATTTTGATCATATGCACATATGATCCATAGATTGTTCCCTTATGATGTTATTAAGTTCTAATTATATATTTTTAGGTGCTTGACTTTGATAAAGTTGGACTTAGATCAATGTATTTCTTATGTGGTTGAGTTCATCTTATAAAAATATATACTTTCACAATAAATCTATTAAAATCAATTTAGATGATCATAATTTAATTCAAATAATTATGATCATGTATCATTTATGAATTAAATAGAGTTAATTATAATCAAATTATATCTATCATAATTCATAATTATGCTTTTATATTTCAATTGTCAAATATATATTGTTTTGTTTTCATTAATAAATTATATATATATATATATATATTTGCGTTTTTTTAAGATATATTTTTTTAAAGATATATTTTATTTATCGAGGATGTAAATATATTTTATTTAAGTAAAAAAAAAAAACCACCGATAAAAAAAGGCGTCGACCTGGTTATGCAAATGCGCTGAAAAATTCCTACACCCGATAAAATGCAGCACAATTACCGTCGATTGTGTGCGAGCTACCCCCTCTCCGATCGGCGAAAACCCTAAACAGTTTCTCGTTGGCCTCTTTCATACACGATTCCTAGTCGGAAAATCCCCCTCGGAAGCATCACCATGCTTCCATTTTCTTCCACTCTATCCAGTCAGATACGGTTCCTCCTGCAGAGTGCGAACTCTTCCACTTTTGATTCGCTTTTTCGCGAGCTTTGCCAGGTACGCAAGCATGAATTTTTTTTTTTCGGGTACTATCCGAGCTTTATCTTTCTTGCAGTTCATGTTGTTTTGGCTATGGTCTCTCTAACCCTAACCTCTTTTCCGATGCCGTCAGTTTGACGTAGGATCGTAAATTTATCCGCAGGAAATTTTGTGTGGCTCCGTATATTTTATACAAGAATACGTTTTCTTGTAACTTAGTCTTTTCGTATGACCTTATTAACTGATTCCAGCGTGCCCCTCGTTGCTGCTGCGGTGATTGGTTGGAAGAGGACGCGGGAGTTGTTTCAGCTGGGAAAGAATGCCATGAACCCCATTTTTTATTGCTTTATCGTGGGTTTTTAGTACCCCATATAGCCTTTGTTGTGAAGCACTCTTCATGGGAATATAGGAATGCATTTAGTTATTGTAGGCTAACCCTTCGTTTGATTGAACCTTATTTGATTGCTTAGACATCACATTATGCAGTCAAGTAGGAGGGTGCAATTCGTGCACACCATCTTGCAGATTAATTCTTCAAATACCCTTGTTGTTAGTCATTGTTCATTAAAAGGAAATTTACATCTTTATTCCACCTTAAATGACGATTATGTAAGTTGGTTTTTAAAATGGGATGCACACTTTCACATCAAGTTTATATGTAAAGGTATCAAAAAATTTTCAGGAATTATTGTAATGCAACTACCAACAAAACCCCTGATAATATCTTCCTCTGGGGTATCAAGTGATAAGGGATGGAAGGTGAAGAGCAATCCCTCACCAAATTAGTATGGAAAGTTGATTCTGGTAGTGAAGCCATTTTTAGTTTGTCAACCATGACCATAGAACACTTAAATATTTCATGAATAGTTACTTACCTAATATGCAGATGAAGGCATGTCAACCAGTCGTGGTTGATTGAATGTATACTTAGAGTGGGTCTTGTCCATTGTGAAATAATTGAAGCCAAGACTAAGCATTTAGAAATTGGAGTGGTTATGAGAGAGGATAAAAGGCGTGTAGTATGGACAAAGAAATGCAAATTATGAAAGAAAAATACATGCAATCTTCATTCATGTTTAAAGATAAAATAAAAAATAATATTTTATGGACAAAGGCTTTGTAGCCCTGCCTAAGACATGCTCAAAGCAATCTACGTCATATAACCCAAGCTATTTTCAAATACAATGCTACCAAATATTTGTTAGAATTTCATGGTAATTACATGATAAAAACAATTAAATAAAAATTCTTATGGAGCCTGTTATGTACTTCTTGCATTTGAATTTTCAAGTGCCAATTTCATAGGGCCAACCATGCCTTCTTTAATTTGGATTTTGATTTTTTTCTATTAATGCTTCTTTTATGTAATTTTCCTTAATGTAAGACATACTTGGCCGAAATACAACATGCATAGAGTCGTCCAATTTGAATTCAAATTTTTTCCATTAATGTTTTTTTGTTGAATTCTTAATTTAACCCATGGGTACTCTTCTTTTGAATTTAAAACTTTTGTTTTCTTCACGAGGTGCAACAAATTGATGGAAGGTGAGATAAGATGACGCATGGCCGAAATCTTCATGACATCCTTACATTAAAGGCTCTATTTGTGTAACCAGTAACCACTCCATAATTTGGCTCCATTTGTGTAACTATTCCATAATTTAAGCCATGGTCTCCTCTTTTTGAATTTTAGAGGTGCCATAAATTTAGAAAGGAGAGAGAAATGATTGTTGTATGAAATTATCATGCATAAAGGTGTTGTGTCATGAAGGGGAGGAGCCACTTTTGTAAGGGGGAGAGACAAGATGAGAAATTTTTGGGAATTCTTCTTTTAAGGCTTGACCATGCTTGGATTTTCCACTACATGGCATAAAACATAGTGATATTGCTCCTCAATCATAATCATAGCCTTTTGGGAGCCATTTAAACATTATTTTGCTTTGTGAGGCTTGTAAAATAATGTCAGTTAATGTATATTTTTTTCTTCATAGATATGATGCCTTAAAAACTTGCATCTTTGTTCCATATTGTCAAGCCTTCAATTTGCTTTGTCAGAAATTATCATTTCAAATTTTATTTTTAGTTGACTATAAGGTGATTTTCTAGTTGGCCAGTCTTCATTGATATGCACGAGCCAAGTTATTAACATCATCACTCACATTTTATTAAATCCTTAGCATGCGTACCGTACCGTACCCTTTGCATTCTGACTGTAACCTTGAGGCACTTGATGCAATTCCAATGCAACTTTTGTTATGTTACTTGGTACTTTAATTCATAAATTTTGAAAGTACAGGTAAAATTTATGATTAGCTTTATTTTATTTGTTTGTGATGGAGGCATATTAAATAATTTTATGTAAGTTTGTTTTCTATGCTTATCTAATTTGTAAGTATAATTAGGATTAGTTAAATTCAATATTGCAGTTGTTGTTGGCTTGCTGCCTTAATCACTTTTAGAACAAAAGGTGAGTTGGGATACAGGACGCTTTAAGATTAATTAAATTCAATATTGCAGTTGTTGTTAGCTTGCTTCCTTAATCTTTTAGAACAAAAAATGAGTTGGGATACAGGACTCTTTAATTACTTTTTGACAATGCCAACAATGTTACAAGATGCGGGATATATATAAGTGCCTGAGAAAACTAATTAATTGTGCTAGGACTGGGTAATATCAGAAGAACTTTTTATTCAAGATTTATAACCAGACTAACCATTATATAACTATTTTATGCTCCATGTGGCTGCTGTCCGCCTAAAATGAGCTCACCTCATTGATTTAGATTTGTTTGTTGAAAAAGTAGTAATCAATACTATACATATCATTGGCATTTACTTGGTCTTGTGTCATTGACCTTGTGGAAAATTAAAGAGTACAAATATTACTCAATACTTATTTTAAACGTCTTGTATTATCTTAGGTATTCTGTAGCACAGAAAACCCTTATAGGAATTTAAACATTGTGCTATTGCATTGATGGTAATCTTTTTAAGTATCCAAGATTCATTAGGATTGGCGTGAAAGAAGTGATGACATGAAATTATATAAAGAAGGAAATAACAGGTATAGAGTTAACCATGCAAATGAAACAGTAAAAATCTTCTTCAAATCCGCAAGGCTTGTTTGCCATTTTAATGATTTCAGGAGATGTATTTGGGTCTTTCAAAGTTCCATCCATGGCTATATTGTGACATTGCCTTTGTGATGATTAAACATGCAACCATGCTGTAAAAAAATGATTATACACGTCTCTATGGCTAATTATGTTTTTGATTAGGTGTCTTTATGTTTTATGTTATTTGTTTCATTTCTTTATTTTATTCTTTACATTGTCAGCGAAGATTATTGAACTGATTTACTTCATGGAATTTATTCCTAACATTTCCTGCACATTCCTTGTTTTCCAGTATGAAGATTATGGATGTGAAGGCAGCATTCTATTGCTTCAAAGTTGCTTAGATATGCTGAATTACAGTGGCGGACACCCCAATCTGCAGCCACAGCTGGATCTTGTGTCCGCTATTTTCAAGCATCTATTACATAGGCCAAATTTCAGTACGATTTTTTGCGAGTCATTGCGATTGACATCAATGAGTGAGGGATTCTTGGTAGATCTTTCAAATACGTTGAGGCTGTCCAATGCAGAGAAAGTTGGAGTTGGTCTTGCATTATCAGAATCAGAAAATATAGACTTGAAAATCATAGGTAAGAATACATATTTTGCTATAATGAGTTATTGTTTGACCATTTATTGTAATTCACGGTGAATTTCATTTTAGCCCGAGTACTTTGGCAGTTTTTTCAAAAAGATTGAATCTTTTGCATATATATATATGAGATTTCTTACGGATCTTATTTAGATTTTTTACTTTTACCTAGCATTTAGTGGTTGTTTGATAGCAAGATTCCAAATTTACTTTCAGAATACTTTGTGTGAATGCAGTGCATCATGATTTCTCATAGCTGTTTGTTTCTTTGGTTGACTATGAAGTAAATAATATGAAAACTATTTTTTTGCATTTGGATGTTAAGTAAAATCAATTTTGGAAAGGTTTTAAACAAAATAATGCGTGAAAAAGCAGTGAAACCTGATGATATTTCAATTGAGGTGTGGAAATATATAGGAGATCAAAGAATTTCTTGGCTTACTAAATTTTTGAATATTATGACAAAATATGCCATATGAGTGGAGGAGTGTGTTGGTTCTTATTTTTAGGAATAAAGGTGATGCACGAGAGTGTGTGAATTATAGAGGAATTAAGTTAATGTATCATACATTAAAATTATGGGAGAGTAATTCAACATAGGTTATGATGTGATGCTAATTTTTCTCAAAATCAATTTGAATTCATGCAGGGTAGGTCTACTATGGAAGCTATACATTTGTTGAGAGAATTGATGGAGAAGTATAGAGACAGTAAGGAGGATATTCTTATGATATGTATTTATTGATTTAGAGAAAGCATATTATAAAGTTTCAAGAGAAGTGCTATGGAGAGTTATAGAAAAGAAAGGAGTTAATAATGCTTATATTCAAGTCATTAAGGATATGTATGCAGGAGCTATTACTTGTGTTCAAACACAAGGTAGTTTGACCAATTATTTTCTTATTTTAATTGGATTATCAAGGATCAACTTTAAGCCCATATATTTTTGCTTTAGCCAGGGATGTTCTTACTAAACACATTTGCAAGCGGATGTACCTTGATGTATGTTTTTCATTGATGATATTCTTCTTGTTGATAAGACTAGGGAGGGAGTGGAAGGAAAACTTGAATTATAGAGGTCAATTTTAGAGTCTAAAGGTTTTGTTTGAGTAGATCTAAAATTGAACACATGGAGTGCAATTTTAGTATTAATAGATCTAGTTGTGGGATTGTGACGTTGGGTGATCAAGTCATAGAGTGCACGTTTAAATATCTTGGGTCTATTATTCAAAGCGATGGTGAAATAGATGGGGATTCAAGTTGGATGGTTGATGTGGAGGAATGTTTTGGACTTGTTGTGTGATAGAAAAGTACCCCTTAAACTTAAGGGAATATTTTATAGATGACGGTGACACCTGCAATGCTTTATGAAGCAGAATGTTGGCCATTAAAAGAGAAGCATAGAATTAAGTTAAGTGTTGTAGAGATGAGGATGCTCAGGTGGATGGGTGGCTTTACACTTTGAGACAGAATGTGAAACAATTATATACGTGAAAATGTTGGAGTAGCTTCAATGGTAGATAAGAATAGAGAGAGTCGCCTTAGATGGTTTGGTCACACCAAGCATTGGCCTTCCGATGACCCAGTTAGGATAGTAGATGTATTAGATCCGATCTATGTTAAGAAAGGTAGGTAAACTTAAAAAAACTTAGTTAGAAAGTATTCAAAATGATGTTTGTTTATTAGATTTAAATGAGAATTTGACTCTTAGTAAGGCACAATGCATAAAAAGGATTCATGTTGCCGACCCCACGTAGTGGGATAAAGGCTTAACGTTGTTGTTGTTGATGATGATGTTAAGTATTTGCAATGTATTCTAATCAAGTTGAACTTAAGTAATAGAAAGCTTATAATTATATGTTCAACTCTGGAAGTTCTGAGTTGATTAAATAAATTATACAAATTTATAAATTAGGGTTTGAGTATATAGAAATAAACCTAAGTTTAGGTTTGCAAAAATGATTGATTGCCTAGTGAGCCAAGGGTAGGCACTGACAGTAGCACTGATCAATGACATTTGTGTTCGGGTACAAAGATAAAGGCAAGACGAGTGATGATGGGCATCAACATTGGTTGATCACATTATTCTTGTTCCTTTCCTCCCTGTGACATCGTTCATTCCTCACTCTTGTACTCTTCCAAGCTTAATCCTAAATGGGATGTGATAAAACTGCCTCTCTTTATGTCCTTCCTACTAATCTAAATCATAATTGATTGTGGCGGTAGAGATGTAATATTCAGTTACCCGAATACCCTTCCTTCCTTTTGTGCTCTATAGAAAATTGTTTCCATGGGATTTACGGTCATCAACAGGTCTTGCTGATTCACAACCGATGCAAAGCAGGAAGGGGATGATTTTTTTTTGAAAGCAGGAATGGGATGATGGTACAAAGAAGATTATGCTTTCTTTGTCAATAGTAGTTGTGCTAAATGTAATTTAGTTTTATCTGCATATCCTCTCTGTTAATACTTATTTATCATTTGATGTTTATTTCAGGCCAAAACTTTTGCATTGTTCAAATTGAAGAACTTTGCTCAAGTCCTACGTCTTCGGACTTTAATGAGCAAATTCAAGATATCTTCATGTTTCTATACTGGTCGGAGGGCCTTTCAAAGCATTCAGATTCTTTTACAAAAATCTTGTCATTGATACCTACACAAGATAGGTCTTTTTTGGTAGGAGCCTCAGCTCTGGCAGATGATATATGTGAAGCCAATATGCTGAGGTACTTCAAACATGGAATTCTATAGATATTCTTGCTTTTTTCAATATTGGGCTGAACTTACTGCATCTGGTTTTCACATTGTACAGGCATTTAGATGCATTCTTTGAATGTTCTGATAATGATTTTGAGGCAGTTTTAGCTGAGATGGAAAAGGAAATGAGCATGGCTGATATCATGAGGGAACTTGGCTATGCATGTACTTCTAACACTTTACATTGCAAAGAGATGCTCTCTCATTTTCTACCTCTAAGTGAGGTGACAGTTGCCAGGTTGATCAGTACAATTTTCTCAACCAGAACAGGTCTGGAAGATGCTCAAGACATACATTATACATTCTGCTCAGCTGTTGGCAGCAGCTTGGCATGTGAATCATCTTCCTTTAACTCTTGGAATGTTGATGTTCTTGTGGATTCAATAAGGCAACTGGTGAGTCCATTATACTGAAACTTCATTTTGGTGGTAGTGAACAGGCCAAGAAGTGTAAACTTATGTTACTCATGTTGCTGATTGAATCTCAGGCTCCTACAATCAATTGGGTGAATGTCATGGAGAATCTGGATCATGAAGGATTTAACATTCCTGATGAAGCATCATTTTCTTTATTAATGTCTATATATAGAAAAGCTTGCCAGGTTTGTTGTTTATGAAGCATTCTACTTTGATATTATTGCAACTTTTGAATTCTTCTGATGGATGGGAATAAACTCTTTAGGATCCATTTCCTCTTCATGCTGTTTGTGGGTATGTCTGGAGAAATGCAGAAGGGCAGTTATCTTTATTAAGGCATGCCGTGTCTGCTCGACCTGATGTTTTTACCTTTGCACATTCTTCAAGGCACTTGGTAACTTTAACTGTTTTTTTTTAATCTAGGAATTTACATGTTTGGCTAGTTACTTAACCTTTATTTTAAAATTTCCTGTAGATTCACTCAGATTCATTTCAATTTGCAAATAAAGAGGGCAATCAGGCATGGTTATGTCTAGATCTCTTGGAGGTTTTGTGCGAGTTGGCTGAGAGGGGACATGGAAGTACTGTTCGCATGATGCTTGAGCAACCCTTCAGTCAGTGTCCTGAAGTTCTACTTGCAGCAATTTCACACATCAGCGTAAGCCTTGAATAGCTTATCACAATGACTTGTAGCATTTATTTGAAGCTACTATGAAGTTGTGCTTGCTTTTGCAGACTACGTACAACTTCCTCCAGTCTGAAGTCTGTTCAGTTTTGTTTCCTGCAATGCTAAAGGATCCTATGAAGACTAGTTTGATTCATTATGTTTGGCGTGCTAATCCTAATCTGGTATTACGAAGATTTCTTGATGTTTACACAGATCCAAGTTCCCTTTTGAGAATACTGGATATTTGCCAAGAGCTGAAGGTAGATCTGATTTTTTATCAGTCCTGAATCTAAAATGTTGCGTACTTTCTTTTGTGCCAAACTTGGTCTTCTTCTTGTCTGACAGCTGTTCCTAACTCCAAAGAACACCTTTAAAATCTGATTTGTTTCAGCTTCTGAAGTTCAAAGCTGGTGCATCTCATTTGAATAAAAAATGCCGAGTTGCCTCTCAAGAAATTTAAAAAAACACTGTTTTTAGAAAAGTTTTTGTATTTGCTTCATAAGGCATGTTTCTGCCTAGAGCTTCACAACGTAATTTATGAAAAAGGAGAAGCCCAACAAAAGGATCCCTGAATTTACTGATCTTTGGTTCAAATTGATCTATTAGCTGACAAGACTAAAATCTTGTGGTTTGTCTGATGAGGATTCTAATATTGAATGGTTTCTCCAAAAGCATTAAAAAGCTAAGAAATAAAAATGTGAAATATTCAAAGAGTTATAAGTATTGTAAAATTGAAATAAACTCTTGATTCTAGTGATTGATCATGGAGAATTGCTGGATTCTAGTCATAATGTCAATGGTAGTGGTTTAATAGGGATAGGCAGCCATAATGGGCTTATAAATATTTCTGCTTGTAATAATTTACCAAAGCCATAAATGATTTGGAAAAGTAGCGGGTGTGTTTTGCTGAAAGGGAAATTTTAATCCCAACTCCCAGTTTGTTTTGAGGTTTTTTTAATCATGCAAGATTGATGTCTATGATGATTTTGAGAGCATGAAAAGTGCTGAGCCAGTGAACTTGATTGATTATGTGGATTTTTTGTGAAATCTTTTATTAAAAAACTTTCAAGGTTAGATTAGGTAGAGTATCACTATTCAGCTTTAGATATCCGCATCAAGCTTATCAGGTACAACATCACAGCCATTGATAAAGAAATCTTGTTCTTCTCCATCTTATTCTTCTTAAGAGATGAAAACTGAATTGCCTACGAAACAAACCTACAGGATTTGGAGCATTTTTTTTTTCTTGGTAGAGCTTCTGAGTATATGCTATCCATCTTAGTTTGCTGCAATGTGAGTTAACCTGTTATCACTGATACCTTATTATCAATTGTCCTTTATGTCTCTTCCAAGGCTATGCATGGTGCAGAGTGTAAGTTAGGCATGCATATATTTTTAGAGAGCTTTAATTGTTTTACTTTATAATCCACATTGGCATAAACATTTGTTGAGAGGTTTGATGGAGAAGTATAGAGAAAGGAGATCTAAATATGATATTTATTGATTTTGAGAAAGTATATGATAAAGTTTCAAGAGAAGTGTTATACAGAGTTATGGAAAAGAAATGAGTCAATAATGCTTATATTCAAGTCATTAAGGATATGTATGCAAGAGTTGTTACTTGTGTTCAAACACAAGGTTGTTTGATCAAGCATTTTCTATTTATATTGAATTACATCAAGGGTCAACTTTAAGTTCATATTTTTTTGTTTTAGTCATGGATGCAATGCTTTATGGTACAAATTGTTGGTCTACCATGGAAGCTATACATTTGTTGAGAGAATTGATGGAGAAGTATAGAGAGATTAAGGAAGATCTTCATATGATATTTATTGATTTAGAGAAAGCATATGATAAAGTTTCAAGAGATGTGCTATGGAGAGTTATAGAAAAGAAAGGAGTTAATAATACTTATATTCAAGTCATTAAGGATATGTATGCAGGAGTTGTTACTTGTGTTCAAACACAAGGTGGTTTGACCAATTATTTTCGTATTTCAATCGAATTATCAATGATCATCTTTAAACCCATATATTTTTGCTTTAGTCAGGGATGTTCTTACTAGACACTTGCAAGTGGATGTACCTTGATGTATGTTTTTCATTGATGATATTCTTCTTGTTGATAAGACTAGAGAGGGACTACAAGGAAAACCTGAATTATGGAGGTCTATCTTAGAGTCCAAAGGTTTTCGTTTGAGTATATCTAAAATCAAATAGATGAAGTGTAATTTTAGTGGTAATAGGTGTAGCGGTGGTATTGTTACATTGGGTGATCTAGTCATTAAAAATAGTGCATATTTTAAATATCTCGGGTCTATTGTTCAAAGAGACGGTGAAATATATGGGGATATGATTGATAGAATTCAAGTTGGATGGTTGGAGTGGAGGAATGTATTGGGCTTGTTGTGTGATAGAAAAGTATCCCTAAACTTAAGAGAAAATTTCATAAGATGGTGTTGAGACTACAATGCTTTATGGTGTAGTTTGTTGGCCGTTAAGAGAGAAGCATAAAATTAAGTGTTGTAGAGATGAGGATGCTCAAGTGGATGAGTCACTTTACACATAGAGACAAAATGTGAAATGAGTACATATATGAAAATGTTTGAGTAGCTCTAGTAACAGATAAGATTGGAGATGGTTTGATCACATAAATTGCCAGCCATCCGATGCCCCTATTAGGAGAGTAGATGTATTAAATCCGATCTATGTTAAGAAAGGTAGATGTATACCTAAAAAGACTTGGTAGTATTAAAAATGACTTATTTTTATTAGTTTTAAATGAGAATTTGTGATGAGGTCATCGACAGACATTTTAGGCAAGTCTACTGGCGAAGGAATCGTAGATCGACGGCTACGATTGGGAGCTTATATTTCTGATGTTGCCATGTCATCTTATGTTATTTTCTATGTATCTTTTATTTCAAGCCTTAGTTTACTATTTTGCCCTTATGTAGGTTTAGTCTTTGTTGTAGCCCGGTGAGCATTTGAGTCATGTTATTTTCTGAGGCCTTTATAAGAGGTCTCCTCCTATTGTATGAGCTTAATGTTTGATTAATAAAAATTCTGAGATTTTCATTCTTCTTTTCTTGCTTGAGAGCTTGAGAGAAAGTGAGGAGACCAAGGAGAGATTCCACCCGAAATACCCAACAGCCACAGTGGTGAGCTCTTGGCTTTACTTTTTTTTTGTTGTTTTCTTCTCTCCCTACCATCTCCCTGTGCAGCCGATCCAGCCCTTTTCCCCAGAACCCGCCGATTTCCCCCCTTCATCCCTCCTTGCCGCCGACCAAGCCAGCAGCCGGCCCACCCAGGTCCCGCCGTCCACCCCAAGCCCAGCCCTCTTCCACTAGAGAAATCCCGCCGCCCCCTCCCTCTTTGAAATTTGAATTTTCACAATAAACACCCTCATGAATTCTTTCCTAAATTGCTTACCACAATTAAGAACGAATTTAATTGAGGCCCAATTTCGTATGAATTCAAATTTCGAATTCCCCTCTTCTTTTCTCCATTAGGAAACCTTCCCTAATTAATTAAAATATGAAATTTAAAAATCAGTTTTTAATTAACTCCGTGGGCCCCATTAATTAACCAAATTTCCCCTCTATTATCCTTGCTTGGCCGGCCACCCATGCTAGCATACTCTCTCTCTCCTTGCCACCTAAGCACCCACTAATTAACCTCTTAATTTCCCCCTAATAGCCGCCCCCCTCTTTAATATAATTTAGGGAGACTATAATGATCAAATAACCTCTCCTTCCAATCCATGAAAATTTGAAATGCAAATTCAGATTTTCCCCAAGTCTCTCCCTAGCCACGGCCCAACTCCTCCTTTCTTTTCTTCTTCCCGTCCCCTTCTCAATGTTGAATGGCGGATCCCAAATTTGAGTGGGGGCTTGTGTTCAATGCCGACGGTAGTCTCAACATCCTACGATCCCCGTTCTTCGACGCGGGGTTTGAGCACGAAGACACAGTTGGTGAATACTTGGAGCGAATTCTCCCATCACTTGTGTGCGTCATTGACCGCCAATTTCAAGACTACGTTTGGACAATCACCGGGCGCCATCCACCACCTCCTCCACCGGCGGCTACCTCTCCGATAACAAAGTCCTTCGTCTCCTTTTCCGTAGTGGTGCTCTCCATCTTCGCGTGGTTATTTCTTCTCCGCTAAAAGCCAAAGAGTGATTGAGTGAGAAGGTGCTCGAGGTGAATTTTCTCATTATTAATCGTGGGATTTTTGTTATGAGCATTTAAGTAGTTCTTTTATCTTTGAATGTTTATGAATTGTTTGGTTATCTCCAAGCAACTCTTCGCCTAAGCAAGTTGATTACCTAGAATACATTTAATCCTTTATTTTATTGGTGATAAATTTGTGTTGGCAACGCTTTAATTACTTTCATCTTAATTTCCGCAAGCAATTCCTGTTTGATTCACATCAATTTGACTCTTATTGGGACCCAATGGAGAAAAATGATTCATGTATCCGGCCCCACGTATTTGGATAAAGGCTTTGTTGTTGTTGTATATTAAGAATTGTTATCCAAGTCTTCATTCGGCCTCTGCTGCAATGGTGGTGAAATTGTAAGGAGGATCTTCATATAATATGTGGTAACTCCATGGAACTTGTTTGGTGTCCCCTTATTTAGTCCAAACTTTTATGCATGCTGAATCTATATATGTTTTTTACCAGATGATTTAGTGAGCTGTAAATTTGTGCCACCAAGTAAATCCTATAATTACCATACTTCTACATGTTCGGTTCTTGAAATGCTATTTTTGTTTTGTGCGGCATATGTATATATACTGTTCATTCTCTTGCGTTCTTTTATCTTATTCACAAGCTATGTCTGTTTTTTAACAGGTGTGGTTCTATGAGGGCTTCTCTTTATTTTATGTACATTTCCTAATGCGCATGCTGCTGCATCCATATATGTTATTTACCAGCTGATTTAGCGAGCTGTAAATTTGTGACTTGTAGTCTCTATTATTGTATATTTTTAGCTCTGTATCACATAATGGATCCTTTAGTCGGCTTACTTCCATATGTTAGATTTTCAACTGCTGCTTTTTATTTTTTTGCATGTTAGATCCATGCGTCATGTTCATTACCTATATCTGCTTTGTTTTACTGCATACACATGGAGGGGAAGGTGGGATTTTATTTTATTTTTCTTCTTGGTTCTTGTTCTTATATGCTTTTTTTGTAGATTTTAGCAACTGTATTGGACGCGGCTCCTTTTCCTTTTGGCATCAAATTAGCTACTATTGCTTTTAGGAAGGAGCAGGCAGCTCTAGAAAAATGGCTAAATGATAATTTAAACACATACAAAGATTCCTTTTTTCAGGTGATGCTTTTTGTAGCATTTTGCATTGCCTGTTGGGTTATGTTCCATAGTAGTAATAAATGGAGTGTTCTTCCTCTGCAGGATTGCCTTAAGTTTCTTGCAGAACTATCTAATTTGGGGAATGATATGCCTGATGGCTCTATGGACCAATCCAGAACTTCTGTTATGAGTGCATACCAGGAGGCATTATCTATATTCTTGAAGGTTCTTTTTCTGAATTTATGCCATTGTTTTTTTACATTTAGGCTACAAAATTCTATTTGTAACAGCAAGCACGAATGCATGCAGAAAGTTCTAATATGAAAAATTTATAATATTTTCAAATAAATTACTAAAATGATTAAGCACTTTTTTTCACTAATTTAATTGGCAATATAAATGTGGATGAAATTATTTATGCAATAGAAAATAATCTAAGGTGTATCTCTTTACATGCTCATATATGATGATTATCCTCTATGAATTGATGTTGAAAAAATGAAATATAAGAACTCTATATACATTATTTTAAAACTTCTGAATTTATTTTGTGAGTTTTTTTTTTTTTTCACATTACTTTTAACAGCGGCCCAATTTATTAACTCATGGAAATTACTTCCCAATATGAGTTTAATACATATGAAACATTCTTTCTACTATGTTTGTTGAGAGGTTTGATGAAGAATTATAGAGAGGAAGCAGTGGTGGAGCCAATTTTTTTTTTAGTGAGGCCACAAATTGACTTTTTCATATATTCCCTTATCTTTTTCAATAAGAGTGCATGTTTTAGATATCTTGGGTCTATTGTTCAAACCGAGAATGAAATAGATGGGGGATATTATTAGTAGAATTTAAGTTGGATGGCTGAAGTGGAGGAATGCATCAAACCTGTTGTGTGATAGACAATTACCCTTCAAACTTAGGCAAAAATTTTATAAGATGATGGTGGAACTTGCAATGATTTATGGCACAGAATAATAGTCATTAAAAGAAAAGCATAAAATTAAGTTTAGTGTCGCAGAGATGAGGATGCTCATGTGAATGAGTGACTTTACACTTAGATATAGAATACAAAACAATATATACATAAAAAGGTTGGAATAGCTCCAGTGGCAGATAAAATTAGAGAGAGTCACCTTAGATGGTTTGGTCGTATAAATGTTGGTCTTTCAATGACTTTGTTAGGAGAGTAGATGTATTAGATCCAGTCATGTTAAGAAGGGTAGAGGTAGTCCTAAAAAGATTTGATTAGAAGGTATTAGGAATGATATTTTTATTAGATTTAAATGTGAATTTGACTATTAATATAATACAAAGCAGACCCTATGTAGTGAGATAAAATCTTGTTATTGCTATTGTTGTAGTCTTTCTACTATATAGATTAGGTAAGATCGCCGCCGTTGAGCTATCAAACATAGCTAGGATTGGTTGATTAACCTAACTTGGCATGTCAGTGGTCATCTACCTACAATATCTAAATTAAGTACCTCATAACAATTCATTTTTCCATTAAAAATGATATATTTTTTTTATTAGATTTAAATGAAAATTGCACTTTTAATAGGAACTAATTGAGAAAAAAAAATAATTCTTGTAGCCGACCCCACGTAATGGGATAAAGGCTTGCTGTTGTTGTTATTGTATAACAATTCATTCATTTTGCAAAAAGACTTAAATAAATCGAGGTTCTAGTTGAACCATTGTTCTCTGCTGGAGGTATTGACATGTATGATGTCCAATCCTATGTAAATAAAGTCATATCGACCCAAAGAAGTCGAACATAATTTGGATCAGCCTGATCAACACATGTGCGGCGCCTTCGCTGAGAATGCAAATTTTTTTCCGTAACTCTTTTGTTTGTAAAGCCCACTAGAGTTTTAGGGGCCAACAACGCTAAAGAAAAACTATTCATATAACTCTATCTAATTGACATGTGACAGCTATGATTAACATTTGTATGATTTTGTTCCATTTCATATTTCTTTTTTGATTATAGCACAGTAAGATCATAAATTAAATTTGATTTAACCATTTTTAATAATTATGTTGCCTAGTAAAATGATTTCAAGGCAGAAAATATTTATGCGTGCTAACTAAAAAAAAGGCACAAGCTCAAAGAAAGTTAAGTTACAAAATTTAACTAATTAATCATGGCTATGAAATGAATAATCTTGTAATAAATTGATCATTCAGTAAGAAGAAATAAACTAGTTGTTAATATTTTTCTATCTTAGGATTCTCTTGTTTTATTAATCTAAGTTTGTTATATTATAATGATTTTTTTTTCAGATTATGAAATTATAAAATAATAAAAAACAAATAATATGCATAAATTGTTATGAATTTTATTTTGTTTTACTTCATTTAATTTATCTATAATAAGATAATCATTTTCTTTTTAAAATTTCACTTCTATATTTTCTTTTCTTATACATCTTTTAGCATTCCTATTATAAGAGGGAAAAAATTGGAAGTAGTATATATATATATATATATATATATATATATATATAATATTTATATTTGATGCTGTCAAGAATGAGTGTTGGAGGCAACATAGGGTGAGAGATTCTGAATATGAGACATCAAGTGGTATAGATGATACATCTAGAATTATTTTTGAAAATAAGTTTGTGAGTGAGAAGTCTCTAGCGCTAAAAATGAGCACGATAGGAAAACTAACAAATGAAAGAGTGTGCAAAGGAGAACCACCAAGAAGCAACTAGGTGGGAGAAAGTAGAGGCTTAAATACTTATAGAACCAATGAGAATTAAGCACTTATGTCCTTGTTATTGTGGCAGATGCTGAACCAAGCCATGAAATTTGAACTATGATTTCATTTTGAGTTGGGGACTGAGCATGTAGTCCTATGATGCGATGCGAAAGTACGTTGCTTTCTGCTTGCTTTGCTGCATGTTTGTTCCTTTTATGTAAATTATGTGCAGGGCTTGTACATCGCTTTGCTTGGTACCTAACGCACATTTCTAATAACACAAGTTGGCAGGCATATATATATATATATATTATATTCTACGGTAAGTTTGGGATGGGTTGCTCAGGCTTGACTCAATATTATCTTAGCATGATATCTCTTTCTAAATGCTGGAAGCCTCTCATTTTAAAATAAACAAAGGCCAAAGGAAAAAGAGGCTTACCTACTCCAGTAATGCCTTTTTTTTCCTCAGTAGCCATTTTTCTACTTTTTGCATTCCTCTTGCTATTGCATTTTTTGCTTGCTTGCTTTTTTATTTTAAAAGCACCAAGAAAGAGTTTTGCCCTGCTTTTAGGATAGGACAAGGATTAATATGAGAGGGCGCTGAATATTAAGGAAAAGTTATGTCTTCTATTGCAGGCTTAATTTTATATATATATATATATATATATATATATATATATATGTGATCATTTTTTTGCACTTCAGAACTTCAAAGTCATACTTATACGCCACATTGCAGGTTCTTCAAGCCCACTCTGGGCAAGTTTCTTTCCAAATTTCTGAAGAATTAAATAAGCTCTTTGTTCTGTTTACTGCAAAAAATCAAAGCTCTGTAAACAATTCTGATTGGAGCACGAATGAGATTGAGGCAGAAGCAAATGCTTATTTTCAACAAATGTTTGCTGGAGAGCGTACAGTTGAAGACATGGTTCAAATGCTTGCTCGTTTCAAAGAATCTTCTGAAAGGAGGTGGGTAGATACATTGGGTTCACAATAACTGCTGGTCTTGATTGTTATTTTAAGTTTATCTTCTGAAATAATGCTTTCATGTACATTTTCTCATTCCATATACTTACATTTCATGATGATTTATGAATAGCCTTCTGCATGTAAATTGCGTCCACTTTTTTATTGCATAATACTTACATCAGTTGATGATACCATGAGAGGGTGTGTTACAGATTATTGATACTGCATAAAGAGGCTGAAAGTAAAAATGAAAGTAAGTTCATTTGATAAAAATATCAATATGTGACATTGGAGAAAAATATCAATATGTGACATTTATAAAGAAAAACAAACTAGTGAACTCACTTGCTGTTATGCCCCCAAATAGGTTAAACACACCATATTGGAATGTATGGATAGAATAAAAAAAATGAGAGTAAGAAACGTAAGCCGTTCAGATTATTTTGTATTTTGTATAGTTCTGATATAAATTATCATTAAATCACCAGCCCAAATAAATAATTTTACATATAAAATAATCATAATGGGTGAGCAAACCAAAGTTCAGGGGTTATTCCGCTTCCAACCACCAAGACCTAGGACAAACAAAAATGCTTCTTGTACTTTGTTTCCCTTACTAATTCACTTCATGAAAGGTAAAATGATAGATTTATCAAGAATAGCATGTTTGTCAACAAGATGCTATGATAGCGACATTCACCTATGAATGAGTCAATCCATTAAGGTTAAAAATGTAAAATTGCCACAGCCACACCTATTAGTGTCACAGTCACATGGTTTAAAATATAGGCTGCAAACTAGTAATGGAGTCAATAATCGGTGGCATGTTGGCAACACCGACTATTCACACGATTTATGATGGGTACAGGAGCTCACATTATCTCATCTTGATCTGCTCGTTGGTGCAGCGTTGCTTAAACCTGTGCATTTTCTCCACGGTTCACAAAACTATGGTTCATAGATGTTGTGCTTGACAACTTGCTACCCTCATGCGGGATCACCTAGTTGTAATAGCTTCAACATTCAGTCCAACAATCATTCATCATCTGATCATCATAACTCAATAATTAATGCATGCATTAACTTCATGCCAACAGAACAACCAAAATGTGGTGTTACCATGAGTTCACAAAATTCCAACACACTGATGGAGCCAAGCATTTATGTAGTTCTCATTCATTGTTAGTGTGACACTTCCATCCACAAATGATTACATCTCATGAATTAAATACTCCTTTTAGAGATAGATTATAATCTTCCAAAATTTCCTTCTATATAGCATACAAGGACATCATTCAATTGCCCTCATGGTCATATTGTTATTTCTAAATATCATTCTCATCCTTTTGACAACGAGCATGCCATTGCAATATACTCAAGCATCAATGAGCATGTGACTCATGCTACATGTAATAAGTTTATAAATGTATATAATACATTTTATCCAATTTAAACCATAATGCAATGATCATTATTTAATTGAACTATGACCAAAATAATTTACTTATAGATATCCAATGGCGTTTGAATCATCGAAATTTTAGATTTATACTCACAGATAATGTTTTTCTAATCTTCTTGTTCATAGATTAATCCTCAACAATTTATATGAATGTATGATTAGGTGATGTAAAATCGGAGGGGAGGGGTCATGTGAATTTGAATTTTCAAATTAATTGGAAAAGAGAGGGAAGGGGTTACTTAATTAATCCCTTAAATGGAGTTCCAGTTTTATGAAGGAATTAATTAAAATAGAGAAGGGAAGAGAATAAGGGGAGGGAGGAGAAGTGTACACATACAATGTATGTGGACCCAAGCAATAAATATGATTAGGGAATTAAATCTGATTTTAATTTCAGATTTGAGAGATTTGGGGGGTTTCCTAAAAGAGATTTACTAATTAGGAAAATTAATTTAAATCAAATCCAATTAGAAATTTAATCAGATCTAATTTAAGCAAATTTCCTAAAATAGGAATCCTAATTTAGGAAACAAATTCAAATTTAATTTGATTTGAATTTTGAATTCGAATTCATTGCCAAATTAAGAGGGCTAAAATAGGAAAGGCTTTGAATGCAAGACTAAATTTGTGGAGCCAATGAAGGAAGGGGGTAGCCGGTGGCCAAGAGGATGGGAGGAGATGGGGTGGCTGGCTAGGAGGTGGTGGTGGAGTGGCCGACGGTTGGAGGAGGGGAAGAGGGAAGCTTGGACGGCGGCTATGGAGGGTTTGGCCGGCGGTCAAGGGAGAATCGGCTAGGGGAGAAAGAGGGGGTTAGGGCGGCGGCTAGAAGAAGGAAGAAGGGGAATTAGAGAAGGAGAAAGGAAGTGTTGGGAAAGAAAGATAAACCATGATCCTAGACACTTCCTGCAGCTGATGGGTGTTGCGCTGTCCTCACCTAATAACTTCAAACCACGAGCCCAGACACATCCGGCGGCTGGTGGATACTACGCTTCCCTCACATAGGGATCTCACCAAAGTTCTTCCCAAATAATAAGAGTGTAGAAATTTTTTTTTATTAATAATCCATCATTGTCTAATACAAGAGCAAGAGCCTCTATATATATAGACCTTAAAAGAAACTAAAAGACAACTTTGTCCCTTGGGCTTATATAAGACAAAACCATTAAGTAAGAGTAAAAACAGAAAATACATAATTAAATCAAAAATATAATTAATAAACGAAAATAAAATGGAGGGATCTCGGCTCTCGATCTTCGTCTCTTCCTTTGATTAACATCCACCGTCGGATGTCCGCATCATTAGGAATAGGGTAAATTTTAGAAATTTGATTATTCATCTTCAATAAAATTTTACTGACGATATCAATTCATCCAATCTGGCCAATCTTTTCTTGCTCTTTGTTCTCTTTCCATCTCCCTCTAGAGTTCAGACAACTTGCATCATAGCTCTAAAATTTAGAACTTCTATTCAAAAACTTATTTATAAAACATTACTCCAACAAATCAGTTAGGATAATTGCCCCTAATCACCTCAAAATGAATAAATATATAAATAATTACATAATTTTCTAACCTACCCAAAAAATCTGGATGCAATGCATAGCAAGTGCACTTTAACTTGTCTATGATGGCAGAAATTTTTTGGGATCCGTATTTGAACTGTGCTATGAACTAACACGGACATGTTTCTATTGAAATTTTAATAAGCTTAGCTATCACACTGTGTTCCTTCTTTATGTGACATCTAGATTGAATGACCATGAAAGCATATTGTTTGTTCCACGTATAGTTTGTAACTCGTACGTATCCCTCTTGTGGATGATGAAATTAAAATAAAAAGTTGTTCTGTGAGTTTTACTATAAAAATTTTTGACATGGGCTAAAACGGTTGAAGGTTGATAAATAAATTGAATTAAAAATGAAATTAATATGTTTGAATTAAAATTCAGTGATGTTTTTTGTGAGATATTTATTAAGTTATTGATAAAATAGTTGAACATTAATCAATTATAATAAATATGTTTTAAATATAATTGGCTTTGAGCTCAAATTAAAAGTTATTGCCATTTGTTATGTGGTAGTTAACTTTTTGATGAAGCTGTAGGTTTCAATATAAATTAATGTCACGTCTAATGTGGTTCTTCGTTAATATATTTGAATTTAAATATAAAAGTAATGTCATGTGTGATGTGGTAATTGTAGAAAGCGCCATGTCATGTCTGAGAATCGTGTACTCTAATTTAATGCTTATGAAAATTTGGAAAACCTCTCTACTTTTAATCAAAGAAAGTTTGGGGTGATTATAGTTTTTGACCAGAGATCAAAGCGACCATAATTAAGAACCATCAGCAATCCTTTCATTTAAAAAAATACACCACTTAACATGATTTACTTGATTTGGTTGGCTCATATTAGGATTAATTCAACCCTATCAAGGCTTGACTCACTTAGTTTATGCCCCTGACCATCTGCTAGCATTTGCCACCTCTCATTCTCCCTTCATCCCCACAGCCTCATTTTCTATTTACTCAGCAACAATAGTAATATCCAGTTTCTTCTTTTGGTACTGCATCATTGAATTTTCACCAGTATCAGGCCCAGCTACCTGTACTGGCTGATTTTATTTGGTTCTTCTAGCATTTTATAGTTTTTATATGCTTATAGAAGCACCACAAACTCCCAGTTGAGCTTCTAGTTTGCCCTTTTGTGCTTCTTTAAACCTTGAGCTTCCAATAACAAGTTGTCCTTATGGAAAATTTGATTTTTTTTTAATGTTGTCCCAAATCCTGTCATCTCATCTAATGGCATCTTGAAGTAAAATGCATTTTGTTTTTTTGCTTAAACCTTATTTGTTAATTCAAAATCATAAAAACTCTGTGACTGCCACGTCTTCATTTTTCTGCATGATAAGCTTGTTTATCTTTGAGATATCTGTTTAATTTCCAGTCTGAATATTTAATGATATTACAGAGAGCGGAAGATCTATGAGTGCATGGTTTCTAATCTATTCGAGGAGTACAGGTTCTTCTCCAAATATCCTGATAGACAGCTTAAGATAGCAGCTATTCTTTTTGGTGAGGACATACTGCATGTTGGTCTTACATTTTTGTTTGCAAACCTGGCTACATGTTAGCACTTCCGCTACTCTTGCACATTGTGAAATTATTTTATATAGGTGTTTTAGTTTGTTTGGTGCAATATGTCATTTCTTTGGTCGTGAAAGTGTTGCTAAATCTTTTGGTGGATGCTTCTTTATGACTAATGCTTAAATAGCGAGGAAGTACGTTTATAGTTGTTGTTAATGGATCTTTTGTTACAAAGTTGGTTAATTTTATTCAGTCATGCAGCGGATTTATATATTTCATGCCTTATGAACTATATCCTATGGCAGATTTGTTTGCTAACAAAGTAAAAAGTGGGTAATGCAGAGGAAACTGTAGTTTACATTTTTTTTTTTTGTTTCTTTGCCATTTATCGTGATAATATGTCTCTTTAGCATTTTCTACGAAGTGTAAATTGGTTTCCCCACTACTTTGAGGAAGTTATTTTTCTTGACAAGAGCCAACAAAGAGCGCTTCAAGAATGTTCTAAGCCAAAGTTCTACAAGACAAAGCAAAATTTAGTTAGAAAATATTAGAAATGAACTTTCTTTATTAGATTTAGATGAGAATTTAACTCTTAACAGGACAATGGAGAAAAAAGATTTTTGTAGCCGACCCCACATAGTGGCATAAAGGCTTGTTGTTGTTGTTGTTGTTGTAGGACTTTGGCATGATCTATCCAATTTTAAACATCTAGTTACAGAGCTCATTAGGGAGCTGTGCTACATTGCCATTGATAACAGATCAATTATCAAGCCCTTATGAGTTCAGTTGTTATGGCTTAGTTTATTATTATGCATGTTTAGTTCTTTTCATTTGAGTCTTTGTTTTTTGTAATTGATTTTCTGGGGTTATTATGTGAAACTTCCTTTTGAGGGTGGTAGCTTCGTCGTTTTCTCTGGCAGCCGGAAAACACTAAACACTTTGTTGCGCTTGGATAATGGTTTGTAGACCAAAGCCAAAGCATTGGGAAGCAATAGGAATAGGAGGCACTTGGCTGTGAAACTTGCCAATTGTCTCACTTGAGATGTTTTTTTGAATAAAAAGAGAGTTTTTGGTGATAATTTTTGGAGCAAAACCTGAGGGTTTTTAGGATAGCTTGCGAGCTATGCATCTTCTCTTCGTCTTTCTCTAGGAAAGCTTGCGAGCTTGTCCTCTCCTTCGTCTCGGCTTTTTACCTCTTTCTTCTCTCCACAAATTCGACGTCACTTGTATCTTTATTCTCAAGCGATGAAAAGCAAGTTTAGGATTTGTCTTGAATTGTGCTTTTTTATGGTATAAGTTTGGAAGCGTCTTTTTGATCCTATAAAAGGTGTATTTTTTGATTTTTTGTGTATTTTCTTATTTTATTAGGAAGTCTTTAGTATGATTGCAAAATTAGGGTCTTTCTAATTTTCTGCTTGCATCATAAAGGAAGATATCAATGTCTTGTAGAAAGCTTATATACCTCTCCCACACCCGTCCAGATATTGGGTTTGCTGTGATTATGGTAAGCCAATATATAAGTAATCCTATGAAGGAGCACATGGAGGCAGTATATTAAATCTTGAGATATCTCAAGAATACTCCTGGAAAGGGGCTATTATTTAAGAAAAATGAAGATAGAAAATTAATCCTTTATTTTGATGCAGATTGGACAGGAAACCAGGTTGACAGTCTATTGACCACATGATATGCTTCATTTGTGTGGGGGAACCTAGTGACATGGAGGAGCAGTCTGTTGTTTCCAGCATGGTTTAAAATTGCGCAATATGAGGCTCGCCTTGAGGCCCGCCTTTGCGCTGTTCCAGTAAAAAATGCCTCGATGCTTACGCCTCGAGTTTTTTTTATGAGGCTTACGCCTCAACTTGGTTGAGGCCCACCTTGAGGCCCGCCTCGCCTCATTGGCATGAGGCTTACGCCTCACACTATATATATTAAAACTTACAAAAATCTTGAAGTAAATGCCCGACATTGGACTCTATA